CGTCTCGTAGCTCCGCAGGGAGCTCCACCAAAGGCCCCAATGACTGCGGCCACATGTTTTGCCCTCGCCCAGTACAGCGCTTCGTGTTCCCACGGAGAGCTCCATTGAAAGCTCCAGTGGCCATGGACGCGTGCACCGAAGGCTTCTTTGGCGACGTTCGCGTGCGGACCCGGGGCCCAAATCGGCGCACCTCTCACACGCTTCGTGGCCCCATACAGGGAACTTCACCCAGTGCCCCAATGGCACAGTTCGCATGCGCTCCACACCACCACCATTACGGTACATCCCTCATGCGCTTCGTGGCCCCACAGGAGCTCCGCACAAAGCAGCAACCAACCACAGCGCGGCATTCACATTTGCACATGGTTTGGTCCTTCACAAGGATAGTTCCCAACCATCCTGTGGTGTTGGGTCCTCGTTTTGAACAGCGCTCCGCGATCCTTCTTCCTTCCTTCCTCCTCCCCTCCTCCCTCCTCCCATCCTCCCCCACCTTGCCTCTGCCCTCCGCTTGTCGACCAGTTTCGACACACCCCTCACAGACTTCGTGGCCCATAGGGAGCTCCACCGAAGGCCCCAGTGGGACCGCCCGCATGCGTTCGCCACACCCAGGTCAGCGCTTCGTGGCCCTATAGGGAGCTCCACCGAAGGTCCCAGTGGGATCGCCCGCATGCGTCCGCCACACCCAGGTCAGCGCTTCGTGGCCCCATAGGGAGCTCCACCGAATGTCCCATTGGGAACGCCCGCATGCGTCCGCCACACCCAGTACAGCGCTTCGTGGCCCCATGGAGAGCTCCGCCGAAGGCCCCAGTAGCACCGCCCGCATGCGCCCACCCCCACTCAATACAGCGCTTCGTGGCCTCATAGAGAACACCACCGAAGGCCCCAGTAGCACCGCCCGCATGCATCCCCTCAACCAGTACAGCGTTTCGTGGCCCCGTGGGGAGCTCCACCGAAGGTCCCAGAGGGACCGCCCGCATGCGCCCCCCCTCCACCCAGCACAGCGTTTCGTGTCCCCATAGGGAGCTCCAACGCAGGTCCCAGTAGGACTGCCCGCCTGCGCCTCCACCACCCAGTACAGCGCTTCGTGGCCCCACAGAGAGCTCCACCGAAGGTCCCAGTGAGACAGTGAGACCGCCCGCACGCATCCCCCCCATCCATTCCGGCGCGCCCCATCACGCGTTGTGTGGGCCACCGAAAACGGCACCCAAAACACGTTTTTCACAATTGCATATGGTTGGGTCTCTCGCCAGGACATCGGAGGTGAGGGGGTGAGATCGAAGTGCAACGGAGAGCCCCCCTACCGGGAAATCGGTTTCGGCTTCGTGTTCGTGCGTGCCGTGCGTGCGGGCGAGGCGAAATTGCGTGGGCGGGCGAGAAGAAAGTCTCCTCCGGCTGAGGAGCGGCCGGACCAAATGATTCCTCTCCGGGGGCCGGTGGCCCGCGGTGTCCCGCCTCCGGCTGAGGCGCGGCCAGACCAAATGATTCCTTTCCGGGGGCTGGTGGCCCGCGGTGTCCCGCCGGTGTCCCGTCGGTGTCCCGACGATGATGATGAAGATGATGATGATGATGATGATGATGATGATGATGATGATAATGATAATGATGATTATGGTGGTGGTGGTGATGATGATGATGATTATGATGATGCTGATGCTGATGCTGATGATGATGATGATGGTGATGGTGATGGTGATGGTGATGATGATGTTGATGATGATGATGATGGTGATGATGGTGATGATGGTGATGATGATGATGTTGATGATGATGATGATGAGGTGATGATGATGATTTCGATGCTGGTGGCCCGACGATGGTGATGATGCTGATGTTGATGATGATGGTGATGGTGGCCCGATGATGATGATGATGATGATGATGATGATGGTGACGATGATGATGGTGTCACGATGATGATGATGATCATGATGTTGATGATGATGATGATGATGATGATATTGCTGATGATGATGATGATGGTGTCCCGATGATGATGATGCTGATGATGTTGATCATGATCATGATAATGAGATGGTGGTGGTGCTACGATGATGATGATGATGGTAATGAGGATGATGGCGTCACGATGATGATGATGATGACGTTGATGTTGGTGATGATGATGATGATGATGACGATGATGGTGTCCCAGTGATGATGATGATGTTGGTGATGAGGATGATGATGAGGTGATGATGTTTTTTGATGATGGTGGCCCGACGATGTTGATGATGTTGCTGCTGATGTTGATGATGATGGTGTCTCGATGATGATGATGACGATGGTTATGATGATGGTGACGATGATGATGGTGTCCCAGTGATGATGATTATGTTGATGATGACGATGTTGTTGATGATGATTGTGTCCCGATGATGCTGATCATGCTGTTGATGATGTTGTTCATGATGATGATGAGAGGATGATGATGATGGTGGTGTTCCAATGATGATGCTGGTGTCATGATGATGATGCTGTTGATGATGATGCTGATGATGATGATGATGATGATGATGGTGACGATGATGGTGACCCGGTGATGATGATGGTGGTGCTGATAATGTTGATGATGATGGTGGTGAGGTGATGATTATGATGATGGTGCCCCGATGATGATGATGATGTTGTTGATGATGATGATTCTGATGATGATGTTGATGACGTTGATGACGATGATGTCGATGATGATGACGTTGATTGTGAGATCGATTGTGATATCGATAGTGGGATCGATATTAAGACCGAATGTGAGATCGATAGTGAGATCGATAGTGAGATCGATAGTGATATTGATTGTGAGATCGATAGTCAGATCGATGGTGAGATTGATCGAATGAAATCGATCGAGTGAGATCGATTGTGAGATCGATCGAGTGAGATCGATCGAGCGAGACCGATAGTGAGATCGATAGTGAGATAGATAGTGAGACCGATCGAGTGAGACGTTGGTTCCTCCCCCCCGAACCTCCTTCTCACCCGAAGGGTGGTCGTATAGGTATTTCATTTGGGACCGTGGTTTCGGGAACGCGGATCCATAGTTCCCGAGGTGTTTGGTCCTCCTGGCCCTCGTTTTGAAGAGAGACAGCGCCCCGCGTCCTCTTTCCGCCCTCCCTCCTCCCATACCTTGTCTCTGCCCTCCTCATGTCAACCCTTCGACACACCCATCACGCGTTGCGTGACCCCATACGGAGCTCCACCGAAGGCCCCAGAGGCGACGTTCGTATGCGCCCCCCCCATCCAGTACGGCGCTTCGTAGCCCCACAGGGAGTTCCACCAACGGCCTGAGAGGCGACCTTCGCATGCAGTTCCCCCACCCAGTGCAGTGTGCCGTGGCCCCATCGGGAGCCCCACCGTAGGCCCCAGAAGCGGCGTTCGCATACAATTTCGTGGCCCCATAAGGGGGCTCCACCGAAGGCCCTAGAGGCGACGTTCGCATGCGGTTGTCGGCCTATTTCCACGCACACACGCACAAACACACACATCCCTCACACGCTTCGACGCTGCGTGGCCCCATGTGGAGCTCCACCGAAGGCCCCAGAGGCGACGTTTGCATGTGTCTCCCCAGCCTGGTACGGCGTTTCGTGACCCCACAGGGGGCTCCACCGAAGGCCCCAGAGGCGACATTCGCATGCGCCCCACACCAAGTACAGCGCTTTGAGGGCACATTATTGGGAGCTCCACCGAAGGCCTCGTTGGTCGCGGCCGCATGCGTATCTTTCCACCCAGTACAGCGTCTCGTGTCCCCATAGGCAGCTTCACCGAGGGCCCCAGTGGCCGCGGTCGCGTGCGTCTCCCCCACCCAGTACATCGCTTCGTGGTCCCATAGAGTGCTCCACCGAAGGCCCCAGTGGCCGCGGCCGCATGCGCCCCCCCATCCAGTACAGCGTTTCGTGGCCCCATTGGGAGCTCCACGGGATGCCCCGGTTGCAGCCGCTGCTTGACCCATTACCGCGTAGCCCTCACGCGTGTCGTGGCCTCATAAGGAGCTCCAGCGAAAGCGGTACCCACAGCGCGGCGTTCAGAATTTGATATGGTTGGGTCTTCCGCCTTGGTATTTTCCCCAACCATCCAGTGGTGTTGCGTCCTCGCTTTGACGAGAGAGAGCACCCCGCGTTCACTCACTCCTCCTCCCCATCCTCCTCCCATCCTTGCCTCTGCCCTCCGCGTGTCGACCAGTTCGGCACACCCCTCACACGCTTCGTGGCCCCGGAGGGAGCTCCACCGAATGCCCCAGTGTCCATGTTCGCAAGCGGTTGCCACTCCAGTTTTGGCACAACCTCTCACACGCTTGGTGGCCTCATGCGGAGGCCCCAGTGGCCATGTTCGCATGCGGCTGCCCCTCCCGTTTCGGCACACCTCTCACACGCTTCGTGGCCTCATAGGGAGCTCCACCGAAGGCCCCAGTAGCCATGCCCGCGTGCGGTCGCCCCACCGACTTCGACACTCCTCCCATACGTTTCGTGGCCCCAGAGGGAGCTCCACCGAAGGCCCCAGTGGCGGTGTCCACGTGCGGCCGCCCCACCCGTTTCGGCAGGCCCCTCACACGTTTTGTGGCCCCGTAGGAGTTCCCCGAAGGCGGTACTCACAATTACGGCACTCGCAACTGCATATGGTCGAGTTCTCGCCAGGATATGCTTTCCAACGGGGGGATCGTGGCCTTGGAAGTGGAGGCGATGCACGCACCAGTCTGCGCCTAGTGGATGGGGGGGGGCCCTGCTTGGGGTGCAGAAATCCTGCCAGGCTGCACTTTGCATGTCACCACGCCTCAACGCGCCGCCCCTTTTCGCCCTTGCACGTGTCTCCCAACGCACTGTCCTCTTGTACCCCTCGCTGCCCTCCAGCCGCCGTTCACGCTGGCATCGTCGTCGTCTGTTGCCTTATCGTGGCCATAATCCTTCTCCTCTTGTCCCCCCATGCGAGCCCAATGGACACAAGGGGCGCTGACCGTGTTTGTTCGATCAGGTTTGTCTTCGTCCTGCTTTCGTCCTGTGGCGGGCGAGGCTGGCTGCGCCGTGCCCGCCGGGCTGCGTCCTGACCCAGCAGTGTGGCAGCCCCTTCCACGTGGCCCCAGAGGCGCCCAGGGGGCAGGGACGGGGCGGGGCTGGGGGGCGAGGGGGGCTGCTGCTCCTTGGACCTGGGAAGAGGAGGAGGAGGAGGAGGAGGAGGAGGAGGAGGAGGAGGAGGAACAGGGGGAGGAGGAGGAGGAGGAGGAGGAGGAGGAGGAGATCGAGGAGGAGGAGGAGGAGGGAGGAGGAGGAGGAGGAGGTCGAGGAGGAGGAGGAAGAGGATTTTTAAACAAGGACTGCTACGAGGATGAGTTAAAGGAGAGACCAGGGACCCGTCTCGACTGTAACCCCTGGACGCTTAGGATGCTTGCCCTTCGCCAAAAGCTTCCAATTGTCCAGGGTGTGACGGGTGGGTCTCTCGCAGCTCTTGGACAGCCCTCGAATCTGTCCGTGGCTCGAGGAGCATTTGCATTTGAGACATACAGTGAGAAGAGCCTCGTCACTGCACTCAAGAGAAACGCAACTATGATTAAGGTTCCGCAGGGACGTGGGGTGAGGCCGTGCACTTGGGAGCATTCTCCAGGAGGTGGCACAACCGTACCTCTGCGGACCCGAATACAATTCAAACAACGAAAAAATCCGCGCAACCTCTGCCACTCGTGACCAGGGGGAGGGGGAGGGGCCTCGGGAGGGTCACGACGAGGGGGGCGGATCAGCTCGACCTCCGAGAGGTCGAGTTTCGGCAACAGCGGCAGAAGCGTGGCAGCAATATTACATACTTGTTTAGATACCTTAATTTGTCGCTGGAGCTCCATCTCGTCATTCTCTGACCAAAACGGGTGCAAGTTAGCTCCTGCTCGAGCGGCGGCGTCGGCAGCAGACTTCCCTAGTCGCCACCACCGTTCGTCGAAATCCAAATCGGCCTCATTCGGGTCTAAGTGGGCTTCGACCTTCCGAACAGCGTTCGCCCACTTGGACCCCTGGTGGTAAAACTGCATCATTCCCGCATATGGCCTAAAGTAGCTAAGCTGCTGCTCCTGCGGCTGATGGCTTTGCTTAACTACGTTGAGGCAGTCTGATTATATAAAGCTAGGTCCTACCAGTTGAAGAGACGCCATAGCTAAACTCTGACATTCTCCAGCTTGGGGGGAGGCAGTAAGGGGGGCGGGGACGGGTCCGAAGAGCCTGCCTTCGACCTCACCTTCCGCTGCCAACTGCACCACTCCCCACCCCGCACGCTGCTGAAGCTCAGGAACCACATGTCTGATACAGCTCCCATATATGAGAACACTCCCCTGGAAGTCGGCATCCTCTCTAGCTTCGTCGGCCCACTTCATGTCATACGTTCCAGGCTTTGCTGGTCGAGGGTGCTTGTCGCCTGGGTGCTCGACCAGGCCACGGCTGTACAGTAGCTGCTCGACAGGCCCCTCTGCTGCAAGGGCTCGATCGATGTCTGGCTGCTCAACGATCTCCAACCGTTGATCCTGACAGCTGGTGCATTCCCACAGACGGTAGGACTCCGAGTCGTTGCATTCCTGGCGTAGCGCACACTTAGTGGTCAAAACTTGATACCCGCACTCTTTCGCACGACTCGGACACCGCACCGCAGACCAGCGATTTCACACATCCACGCCCGAGCGGGGTCGATCGCTTGGATCGGAGCTTCGCTCGCGGCACGTCAAAACACAATCGGGGAACATCCATCTTCGCTTTGCTGCTCGCATCGCGCTCAGGAGACCTAAGCACAGCACTGAACAGCAAGCCCTTGGGGAGCGCTGGGGAAATATAAGTGAGAACCACCTTTTCCTCAAAATCGTTCCTCAACGTGACAAAAGCTTTCATGTCCCAAGACATTCTCCTCAACGATAATTTCAGGGCCGGCAGTGGGCCATTGACCTTCTTCCACTCCGTCACCTCCTCCCCCTGGTGACCAATCTCCCACGCCGTCCTCAGCTCCTGAAGCGGGATACCGTACGGGTAAGGGTGGGCGTGCGCGGCCCAGATCTCCTTGGCGCATCGGAGGATTGGGGCCACCTCGCATCTCAAGGATGGGACATCCCCCAGATTCATAAGCAAGATGAGGGAGCGGCCAGCAGCTTGCGGGCGCAGAACCTTGCCCGCTGACTGCCTGATTGAATGAGCTTCTCTATCAGATATGCCGTGAACTGATGCTCCGTACTCGATGCTCGGTAGCGAGCCTGAAACAAAAATACGCTTGGCATTCCTGCCCAAGGTCTGCCTCAAGCCCCTCAGTTTCCTGGCTTGTTTCCTGAACTGGTGCATTCTGATCTTGAACTTGGAGGCGCTGTTTCGGGCCCTGCGAGGTCTCCCCACCGCGTCGTCAAGCCCCAGGTTCGTCGCGCTCTCCACAACTGGCCCAGCAAGCTCTCCTAGAACTTCCCTGAGCTCTTGGGCCGCCAGCTTGCCGGAGCAAGCAAAATTTGCGTTGTCTCTTGAAGCTTCGCAGCCTAGCTCCGCAACGAACATCTGGCAAAGGCCAGCCGAAGACTCTTTGATACTCCCAACGACCTCTCTCGCCTTGCCTGCGCTGTTCAGCCCCGTGTCGTCAATGGACTGATCTATGTTCACAGAGGAGGGGGGCCTGGATATCAGTTGATCGTGCGGGCCTAGCATGTAGATCCTGGCGAAGGTGGTCGCAAAACTACATCCTGCGATGACTCCAAGCAAAGCGTAATGGGCCCAGACACCATGGATGAAATGCAGAGGTATCTGGCGCTGCGGTAGGCGTTGCAACGCAACTGAGCGATCGCCATGGGGAACCCAAACGCCTTGCACTAGTTCAGGAGCCTATCAAACGGGAAAGTCTCATGGAACTTCGTCGTGTCCCACAAAAGCGTCGCTGATACTTCTCCTCTGGACGTGCCTACCTCTGATCGTAAGGCCTGTCGCCAAACGACGTCGCGGGCAGCGGCAAATGTCGATCCTGCGAGCTAGGGTCTCATGTGGGCGAGTTCCCATTGCTGGGCATACACCCTTCTGCATCGACCCAAAAGCTTAAAAAGGGAAACAAACAACCCGATCGGACGCCAACCTCCCGCGGGTTTCATTGAGAGGGCTACCTGGATCGCACGAAGTGGCGAGGGCAACGTGGACAGGATTTCGATCAGGGAAAACAGAAGGGGACACCACCGATAGGGCGTCGCCGGAAAGTCAACTGTAATGTTTCACGCGAAACCCGTCTACACTTTGGGCCGAGCGGACAGGGTACCCGGGCGAAACTCTTCTTATGAAGGCTGGCTCCAGAGGCGGGGGGGCTTCTTGCATCCCTTCGAAGCCGCGGCCGAGGAGGGGTTCGGGCGTCGCTTTCCACAGGCCACGGAATCTGTCATATTCCGTGCGCAGCAGGGCAAGTGGATCGGACATGGCCAGGTCTCCAGCACTTAAAGTGGTAGTGGGCTTCCACCCTGGCGCTGGCTTCCTAGCAAGATGCGCATTCCGACCTCCTTTATCGATGTTTCACAAGAGCAAGTTTTTCCAACCCGTCCTGGCCTCCTCCTGGGTCTTGGCCTTTACCTATTCGCACTCCGTCTCCACCCTAGCCAGAAAATGTATCACCTCAGTGCTGTCCAACCATTCGGGTGAGCAGGCATCTGAGGCAAGCGCCGCTGCCGCGTCGAGAGTGCAACGATAGTCTCCGATGCCGTCGAGCACAAACTTCGGCGGTTGCGACTACTCGCCGCGCAAGGTCGGCTGCTCCTGGCCAGCCTGGAAAAGCCCAAACGCCTACCGAACTCGGTTGCCCAGCCACTTCATAGCAGCCATCATTGGGCACCTACGGGGGTCTGTGTTGGCATTCACCACAAGGGGCGCATTGGAGCTCAGGAGGCTGACCACGACAGCCATGGTAAGAAAGGTCAGCATGACCAATCCTAGCAAGTTCTATCCCGGCTTTGTTGGCAAACTTCTTGTACAGGATATCCAGGCCACGGAGAGCCCTCAGCACTTGGCCAGCGTTAGCTGCGTCCAGCACGCGGCGACCATAGTCCACAACCGAGTCCCAGACAGGGGGGGGGGGGGGCGGTGGGGGGGGGGCGATCGGCCTTTCCGTCGGAATCTTGGGATGGCGTCGGAACTGCAAAACCTGCAGCTCGTACGCACGTGGGAACAGGGTCATCTGGACTGGCGCATGAGTTTTGATGATAGTGGTCGTGATCCTTTCAACGGGTTTGAAAGCTTTACTCGCCCCCGTGTACCACGTGGCTTCGCAGTCGGCTTTGACCAGTTCACCCAGCTTTTTAGGGGGACCGCTTTCGAGCAACAACTCGGGGGGGAGGTTGAAATCAGCGCCAGCAATCGCCTCTTGCCCCAATATCCCTGGGGCTCCCCCGACCTTATTCAACATTGTCAAATTTCGGCTTGGCAGTCCTTCTCCGCCGTAGAGGTAGATCGAGGCGACGTTGATAGGAGTGGAGCTGGGGAGGTGGACTGTGGCCAGTACAGTTCCACCAGGGACCAGAACTCCTGCACCTTCGCCAGTGCCGACAGCGTGGTGCAGCCCTAGCCAGGATCTCGCCATAACTGCCACCCCGCCAAGCGTGTCGCCTCCTGGTCCAGGGGTAGCCGCTGGGAAAATATATGTCCACTGATGCTTGGCCAGCCAACTGCTGGCTTCATTGATGCCATCGCCGCGCAAGTGGTGCTCCTGCATCGCAGCGACGCGCGCCGAAGTTATTCCCAACCATCCTGTGGTGTTGGGTCTTCGTTTTGAAGAGACGTCGCCCCGCGTTCCTTCCTCCTCCTCCTTCCTCCTCCTCCCCTTCCTCCCCCCTCTTCCCCCTCCCACACCCATTCTGGCACACCCCTCACACGCTTCGTGGCCCCATAGGGAGCTCCACCGAAGGCCCCAGTGGCTGCGCCCGCATGCGGTTCCACCCCCCATTCTGGCACACCCCTCACACGCGTTCGTGGCCCGCACCTCCTCACTCGTCCCCTCCCGAAGGCCCCAGTGGCTGCGCCCGCATGCGGTTCCACCCCCCATTCTGGCACACCCCTCACACGTTCGTGGCCCCATAGGGAGCTCCACCGAAGGCCCCAGCGGCTGCGCCC